TGTGGGTTCCAGACTGGTGCTGCATACTCCAGTATGGGCCTAACATACACAGTGTACAGTGTCTTGAACGCTATTCTCAGGTTTGCCAGGTGCCCGTATGCTGCAGCAGTTATTTGGTTGATGTGTGCCTCCGGTGACGTGCTCGGTGTTATGGTCACCCCAAGGTCTTTCTCCCTGAGTGAGGTCTGTAGCCTTTGTCCACCTAGCCTATACTCTGTCTGCGGTCTTCTTTGCCCCTCCCCAATCTTCATGACTTTGCATTTGGCAGGGTTGAATTCGAGAAGCCAGTTTCTGGACCACATGTCCAGCCTGTCCAGATCTCTTTGCAGTCCTGCCTCTCCTCATCTGATTTAATTCTTCTCATCAGCTTCACATCATCTGCGAATAGGGACACTTCAGAGTCTATTCCTTCCATCATGTCGTTCACATATATCAAAAATAGCACTGGTCCTAGAACTGACCCCTGTGGGACCCCGCTCGTCACAGGCGCCCACTGTGATACCTCTTCACGTACCATGACTCGTTGTTGCCTCCCTGTCAGGTATTCCCTGATCTATTGCAGTGCCCTCCCTGTTATATGCATCTGATCCTCCAGCTTCTGCACTAATCTCTTGTGGGGAACTGTGTCAAAGACCTTCCTGCAGTCTAGGAAAACGCAATCAACCCACCCCTCTCTCTCTCGTGTCTTCTGTTACCTTGTCATAAAACTCCAGAAGGTTTGTGTGTGTGTGTGTGTGTGTGTGTGTGTGTGTGTGTGTGTGTGTGTGTACTCACCTATTTGTGGTTGCAGGGGTAGTCTTAGCTCCTGGCCCCACCTCTTCACCGGTTGCTACTGGGCCCTCTCTCTCGCCGCTCCATGAGCTTTATCAAACCTCGTCTTAAAACTGTGTATGGTTCCTGCCTCCACTACGTCATTTTCTAGGCTATTCCACTGCCTTACAACTCTATGACTGAAGAAATACTTCCTAATATCTCTCTGACTCATTTGTGTCTTCAACTTCCAATTGTGGCCTCTTGTTTCTGTGTCCCCTCCCTGGAACATCCTGTCTTTGTCCACCTTGTCTATTCCACGCAGTATTTTATATGTCGTTATCATGTCTCCCCTGACCCTCCTGTCCTCCAGTGTCGTCAGGCCGATTTCCCTTAATCTTTCTTCATAGGACATTCCCCTTAGCTCTGGAACTAACCTTGTGGCAAACCTTTGTACTTTCTCTAGCTTCTTGACGTGCTTTATCAAGTGCGGGTTCCAAACAGGTGCTGCATACTCCAGTATGGGCGTATGTGTGTGTGTGTGTGTGTGTGTGTGTGTGTGTGTGTGTGTGTGTGTGTGTGTGTGTGTGTGTGTGTGTGTGTGTGTGTGTGTATGTGTGTGTGTGTGTGTGTGTGGTGTGTGCACGTGCGTGTATCCTGGGAACAGGAGAGTATGCGGGTATGTGCTGGGTGGATGGTGGCTGGGGGGGGAGGGCTTGTTTGTTTGGGTCCTGAGGAAGGGGCGTATGGGTTGGTGGGGAAGGTTGTGGTGGTGATGGCACCCGCATTTTCACCATCACCCGAATGCCATGAATAACTATGGATATTTTCCTTATGAGAAATTCACACTGTTAACCTACCTTACATTACAGTAGTAAGTGTGTTAAGATACATTAATAACAAATTTTTTTTGGAGAAATAAAGGCATCATTATCATTGTCATAACTATCTCCACCACCATCACTCACCCTCCCGTCCCATAGATGCGAGTGCTGATATGGAAAAAGTTTAGCTATAATCAAGTACTTTACTATATTTTTTTGTGTGCATGTGTGTGTGTACTCGCGTACTTTATATGTGGTTGCAGGGGTCGAGTCTCAGCTCCTGTTCCTGCCTCTTCGGTGATCACTACTACTGTAGGTTCACTCCTGGCTTTGAGAACATTATCATACTTCTTCTTAAAGCTATGTATGGATCCTGCCTCTACCACTTCACTTTCCAAGTTCTTTCACTTTCTGGCTCCTCTAACGCTGAAGAAATAATTTCTAACATCCTTGTAACTCGTATGTGTGTGTGTGTATACTCACCTAGTTGTGCTTGCAGGGGTCGAGTCATAGCTCCTGGCCCTGCCTCTTTGTGTGTGTGTGTGTGTGTGTGTGTGTGTGTGTGTGTGTGTGTGTGTGTGTGTGTGTGTGTGCACATGCGAGGATTATTCATTGTGTGTGTGAGCGAGAGAGAGGATGGGGGATGGAGAGAATTCCAAATCTCAAGCATTCTATTGTTTTATTCAAGTTAAATGTACAAATGTTTCTACAAAGTGATGTTTTATTTCTCCAATGGTACATTAAGTAGACATCCCTTTTATTTTTATATATCACTCATATTTATATCATGTGAGAAATGTGGTGTAAAGAATATATTTGATAGACAACCCAAACAGAAAGGTGTAATAAACATTAGTGATACACACAAACCCATATTGAAACAACAAAATAGAAGATAAGAATTGTATAGGTGTATTTTGGTCTTTCGCTGAGATCCTTAAAGTCTGATAGCTTTATTATGCACCCAATACCATCCTGTAGGCGGTTGGTAAAAGATTAAAGAGGCACACAATGGGTCCATGACTGGGCCCTAATACTTTTGTTAACTAAGCAAGTTGCAGTGGTGGTAAAGAAATACAACTGTAGTTATATAAAATTCATTACTGATAATGTTTTAACAATGCAATGTGCTTTTATAAAGTCACAAACAGATAAATGTGGTTAAAAGAAGGTAAATGTATAAATAATGGGCAATGGAGAACAATGTGAAGTTCAGTAAAGACAAATTCCAACTGCAGTACTCCATTATGGAAAACTGGAGGAAATAATAGCTAGAACTGAGTACATATACTACAAACTCTAATCAGACAATAGGGCAGAAAAGTAATGTGAAGGACCTGGGAGTGGTAATGTCTGAGGCTCTCACCTTCAAGGATCACAACAGTGCCACTGTCACATCTGCGAGGAAAATGATAGGGTGGATGATGAGAACATTCAAGACAAGAGATGCCAAGCCAAGGATGATCCTTTTTAAATCACTTGTTCTCTCTAGGCTGGAATACTACTGTACATTAACATCTCCATTCAAGACAGGTGAAATTGCAGAGCTAGAGAATGTACAGAGAACTTTTGCTGCACATATCAGTTCCATCGAACACCTGGGAACACTTGGAAGCACATGACTTGTACTTACTGAAGTGCAGGCGAGAGAGATACATCATAATCTACACCTGGAAGATCCTGGAGGGACTGTCCCTAATCTGCACACAGAAATCACTCCCTATGAAAGCAAAAGACTTGGTAGGCGATGCAACATACGTCCAATGAAAAGTAGGGGCACCATTAGTACACTAAGAGAAAACAAAAGTGTCTGGGGCCCAAGACTGTTCAACAGCCTCCCACCAGCCATAAGGGGAATTACCAATAGACCCCTGGTTGTCTTCAAAAGGGAGATGAATAGATACCTAGTCAGTGCTGGATCTGCCGGGCTGTGGTTTGTACGTTGGACGTGTGGCCAGCAGTAACAGCCTAATTGATCAGGCCCTGATTCACTGGGAGGCCTGGTCGTAAACCAGGCGCAGGGGCGTTGATCCCCAGAATACCCTCCAGGTAGGCAGGCAGGTAGGAGAGGTAAAGAGCAAGTTGGGTAGATATCAGATGATAATGATTCCCAAACATAAAAGTAATTTTCTGTCAAGATCAGGCTAAGTTGTAGAAACCATTGTTCTGGTTGAAATTAATGGAGACAGTGATGAGTACATATTCAAGACATCTCTTATTGTTATTTTCTTTGGCAACAAGTAGTGAGCCATTCCAGTTTATTGAATGGTTATCTGAATTAGTGTGTATTACACATTGTAAATGTTGTCCTACCTTCTGAGATGCGTTTGTGGAGTTCTCCAGATGTCTCACTAATGTGGATTGTGCCACAGTGGTTGCATAGGATTATGTATACTCCTAATGTAGTTAGAGTATGCTGGTTGTATTTCAGTCTGGTAACATCTTTGCAGTAGAGGCATTACTGGCTGTGCTGAGTTTGCAGTTAAGGTTGATCAAGATTTTAAAATTATATCTTATAAATTAAAACCACCATGAGTTTCATCAAGATAGTTCATTGGCATCTGAGATATGAGAGTGAGACCACCCCTTGACTTCCATTAGTCCCTCTCCAATTTAGTACATATTTCTATTAATCTCACCAACCTAGTTACATCATATTAGTTTCATTTTATCTTAGCAGTGTTTCACTGGGTTAAGTTCTGGCTCTGAGGCCTCTTGATGGTGTTGATCTACACTTTCAGTGCCTCCTGTTGGTAATGATCTGTAGTTCCTGGGACTTTTAAGGAAGTTACAGTTACTCAGCTCCTTGAGTATAAATAACAAAAAGGCACAATACCGTGACTGGAACAATACACAAATAACCCGCACATAAAAGAGAGAAGCTTACGACGACGTTTCGGTCTGACTTGGACCATTGACAAAGTCACACTAACCAGAAGTGGAGCAGGACGGCTATATATAGGCAGGAAGAGGTGGTGGTAGTAGTAGTACAAGAATGGTATGTAATACCGACAAGATGAAATTAAGACACATGCGCAACACCCGGGCATCCCTATCGTAGACATTTCGCCATCCAGCCAGCCACTGGATGGCGAAACGTCCACAACAAAGACAACCAGACGCCGCACATGTGTCTTAATTTCATCAGTAGTGTGTGTCTCTTTGAGTATATTAAGCTAAAACTCCTTAGGGTCGAATTATAGGTCCTTGAACTCTTGAAGGAACTGAGCTGCAGTTGCTCTGGCTCTTGAAGAGTTCTGAGGTACAGCTACCAGGCCTCTTACATGCACTGACAAAGGAGGACCTGAGGTTATTTCTTTTTCAGATTATGCAGCAACTGAAATAAGTCTTAATTGCAATAATTATTATTGTTAGTATTATATTTGTTATTATTATAATTAATTTTGCTATTATCATCCTTTACAGGAATGAAGTCATGTGGGAGAACCTCTCATTCATATATGAGGAGGGAGACGAGGCAGCATTGACACTGGGGCTGGTTTGATGTTCATAGGAGAGCCAGATGCTGGAGCCACGAGAACAAGACTGTTAAGGCAGGGTTGTGAGGTTTCCTCAAGCTACACCTAGCAGTGGAACGAGAGGCTCCACCCAGACTACACCTAGGCTTCACCTAGCCATACCTAGCAGAACGAGGTGCTGAGACGGGGTACAAGGCTTCACCCAGCCACACCTAGCGGTGGAACTAGAAAATCCACCTGCACACACATATACTACTATGATCACCTGATGTAACTCATGAGCTCAGGTCAAGAGGGAAACACTGAAGATCATAAAAAGGTACATCATTTGCCTTCAGACAGGTCAAACTGTTGCCATTATTCAAACATGCTAACACAACACGAGCTCTTGAATGCTACGGATGGGTTTGGAGATGAAGACAGCAGCATGTCTGTCGTCTCCCCGCTGGACGGGCTGGCAGAGTACCCTATGGAGCAGGCAGAATTTGAGTATTTTGAGACCAGTCTGCCTAATGATTCCTTTTATGATGTGCCACACCCTCAGGAACTCCACCAGACACTGCCACCACCTCCAGCAGGGACTCCTACTTCAGCATTTACCACCCCCGTGTATGACCCAAGCAGCTATGACTCCACTATTATTTATGATCAGGATGACATGGCTCCATTTACATCCCAAGTTGCAGCCTTCAACGATGATCTTAAGTCCCCACAAGAGATTACTCCCTATGAGGAGGAGATCAACACTGGTGAAGATGAGCTGAAATTTAGTGAAGACATGGGTTATGATGGATTCTCCGGGAGTCTATATGAGAGCAACATAGGCGCTGCTGACACTCAAACTGATACTCTGGGATTCGACAGCCTGTGTAGTGCCTTTGACAACAATCCTCATGTTTCTGTGATGGATGAGTCTACCCCCAACATGACCTGGGAGGAAGGTATGGCCTAATAAAGGTTGTTTCTTTACCCAAAACAATAGAGGGAGAGAGGCCAACACAAACACTAGTAGTTATATGCATGCCCCCTTTATGTTAAATATAGATTTCTGAATAATTATTTAAATATGAATGTACAGTACAGTCCACTCCCACTTAATGACCCAGGTATGGATCCTCTACAAAAGGATTGTTTAGCACAAAATACTACTTAAAGTGAATTACATTTTTCCATAGACATCCATATTATAAGCTGAGATTCAGACCAGGACAGTAATATTCTGTATCTAATTCCAGTTAATTTTACGGGATAATTAAATTCATAACTGTGCACTGTATTCAAAAGATTGACATCCTCCTCTCTGATACCCTTTTTTTCTCTACCATTCTGAATGTGCCTTCCAACTAAGAAGTGAACCACTGATAATAATTTCCTCTAGTAATGTCTTTTTCTTGCAATTACTTATTAAAAACAGTTGTGAATACTATTCATAATGTAGAAACAGCTGCCAGTGAGGTCATGAGAGTGAAAATCAAAGAAGCAATGATGAAACCTGTCATGGTATGACTGTTAATTGCAGCCTGGACTCCAATGTTTGAACACTTGCTACTGTCACTGACTTGGGCAACAACACTTTCACTCTCCAACACTGACAATCATATTTTTTAAATATAACAAAATGCTTTGTTACACATCTGCATTATTTGTCCAACTTATGTTATGATAAAGGCCACTGGGAGGGTGGCTTGCCACCCACCCAGTGATTTCCGCTGGTAATTCCTATTCCTTGCATTTACTTATCAAAAATAGTCGTAGATATGAGACAGCAAAACTTAGAGCTGTTAAGTTTTCGAAGCAATACCAGCTTGAACACTGCTGGTATTGCTTCAAAATTTTACTCTTCAACATTACTACCATATTTAAGCACTTTTTGTAATAATTATAGCAATCAAACACTACCATACATTTCAGTTGTCTTTTTAATTCAGATTTCCTCCAGGGGAGGGGTAGATAAACACAGTTCCTTGAATCAATAGCCCCCCCCCCTCACTGGCATCAAGGTATCTTGAGGGTAGAGGTCATACAGTACCTGGGGAATGGGTGGCAATCAATTTCAATCCATGGAATGAAGGCAGGTTCAATTCCTTGGATCAAAAGGTTCTTACCTATATCAAGGAACTTCCATTAAGGGGAGTTATTATAACCAGGGGAAATTCCTAAACCCCCAGGGAACATATAGCAGCTGGGGAATAAAAAACAATTAGGTTTGATCCAAGGAAGGGGAGGATAAATCCAATTTCTCTAGTCAAGAGTCCCTTACCAAGAACCTCTCTTGAAAGGCAACATTTATTAAGTGGGAGTTGACTGTACTATATTTATCATGAGATTTATTATTACAGTAGTACAATCACTAAAAACACTAATAAATATCATTGCTCTTGAAAGTTTTATCCATTAAATTTTGTAGGTTCTGGTAAAGGAAAGATTGGCCCACTACAGAGACGAGCCCTGGATTCCATCTTCAGTGTGACAGACAAGCCATCGCGGGGGTTAGTGCTGCACATCGCCTCCGAGCTGGGGCTGCATCACCTCACTGTCAAGAACTTCTTTTCCAATGGCCGCAGGCGGCTACGGCGAGCAGCAGCAAGACTAAATGATCCAGAACGAAGTAGACGAGAAAATGAGCGCAGGAAGGAGAAGCGCCGTTTAGCAGCCCTCTCTTCTACACTGTCAGTGGGGGAAGGCAAGATGGCATCTGTCGTCACTAGCAGCTCAAGAGTTACATCACCCCAAATGCCTCCTGCTGACTCTCCTCTGCCCAAAGAAACCCCAGTTGTCTCCCCAGAAAGGCGAGCTCTGATGGAGAAACTGGCAGACAAGGTGCAGAGAAGTGTCGCACAGCGTTCTCTGGCTGCTGATTTGGACTTGCTCCGTTCCAGCTCTTCACAAACACTTCTGGCTCACAACTCACATGTTTTCCTCTCACATTCCTCACATGACCTCCTGACACAACCTTCAAATGACATCCTCTCACAGGCATCTCATGACATCCTAACGCAATCCACCCATGATCTACTGACACCCTCACCTCACAATTTCTTAACCCAACCTCCACAGAAGCTCTGCACAGATCACACTTCAACTCCTCCATCACTACTACAGTCACACACTGATCCCTGGAACTTATTCTGATCTCTGCAGTTCTACCTCGCCAAACTGCCCATGATAACCAAAAACCGTATCTTTAAGTGTCCAATTTTGGCAACAACTTTTACCCATGGACAAGTTTCTATAACTACTCCAAAACACTAACTTGCTACCACCTCAACAACAGTCTCCAAACAATGCGTACTTTCAACTTCTCAAAGAACTTTCATACTGAGATGTTATAGCATTCTCATTCACTAACAGCAACAACCTGCTTTGTCTGCTCACTTTCCCCACAACCCTTTTCCCTTCCTTGGACCATCGCACATGAATTGTGTTACTCCAGTCCTTTCGCATGTCATCTGCCATTTAATATAACTGTTCCAAATTATAACATGAATTCTCATCAGTTTTCTGTACCCTGCACTGTGCCTCCCACACACTACATCCTTGCCAGGTACAAAAACCCCTAAAACATTTACAGAATCATTTCTGTGTTGATTCCAAGTGCCCCAATACAGAAGCTTTTCTGACTCAGATAAATACATATTCTAACTTAACGATTTACAGATTTATGTTACTACACGTTCCTAATGTATTGACTACTCTCATTCAGGTTAAATACACACTTTTATAAATCAGTGGGTATACCCATTCAAATTCAGACATGCACCCCGCCTTCCCCGACTCAATGAGTCTGATGACTTCTCATTCAGGTTACTATAAACATTCATGAGCTAGTGGGTATACCTATTCAACTTCATACATGCGCCCCCCAGATCAATGAATCTGGCTACTCAGGTGAACACATGCCCTGACTCTGTGGTTTTACAGATTCAGGTGAAAACACATGCCTTAAGATAATGGGTGCTGACTCGGGTAACTCACAAGCCTCCAAGGAAGTGGGTCCGTAGCGACTCAAGTGATATCACATAACTAGTCAAATAAAGTACACTAAGAATTATTTATGGGTAGAATCAGAAAGAGGAAAAATCAGTGTGTTTTGGCAACTACACAGATGTGGTTTAATCAGTCAGGGAGGACTTAGTCTTCTAAAATGCTATTTTATTATTATTATTATTATTATTATTATTATTATTATTATTATTATTATTATTATTATTATTATTATAGTATTAGTATAATTTTAATAAGTATTGTTATTGTTATTAATTAAATCTGACTGTAATTAACTCTACAATGAGAATAAAATTTTAAATATATATTTGATATCTATCATATAAATTCAAGTTAATGTATATTTTGCTTATATACATGCCCAGATACTGAGGCATGGGAAAGGCAGTACACCCTCAATATAATGGACTAGTAATAGGGGGATTGTCCAAGTGCCCATTAAATCAGAATGTTAGAAAAAAAAAAAACTCTAAGTACTCTACTGTATACAGATACCTAAAACAGTACTGTACATACAATTTACAGTTATATTGCAATAAATATTGAAAATAAAGGAGTTAAAAATAAAATTTACCTAGTGAATTTTGACCATTATTTTAAAAGTCCAGTAAATGGAGGTCTATTATATCGAGGGCTTCCTGTAATAAATATCATTGACTATATCAAGATTACATATTTAAAACCCTAGTCTAAAAAGATCAGGTCAGAATAGTAAAGCTTTATTATTACATTCATGAGGGGAGTTCTAAGCCTGTAAGAGTCATATAGTGCCTGGGAAAATGGGAAGCAACCAGGTTCAATCCAAGGAATATAAGGATAGGTTCAATTCCTTGAATTAAATGCACCTAAACAGTATCAAGGCAACATCTAGTGAGTGTTGTTACTAACAATAATCAAGCTGTTAATTGCATAGATGAATACACAGTATTATTGTTATATTCTTGGTGTTAAATCCACATGGATCATGACAGGTGAGAGAGATGGTAGAGGAAGAGAGAGAGGTGCTAATAGGATATTTGCAAAAATAAAATGAAAGGCAGGCAAACAGCTGATGTAGCAAATCAGTATCATTTAAGAAATCAGATAAAGAATCTGCATGAAAGAGGGAAGGAACCATAAGAGAAAGGAGGGATGATAAAGTATATAGGGCACTGAAGAGTCTGAAATAAATTTTGGAACACTGGACATTGAATAGCTCACTCATTTGGTGCAGAGGATGAATGTCCAAGACCTGTCTGGTTGTGTTACCCTTGAATAGTTGTATCCAAGTTAAGTGAGCAGAGTGAGTTGAGGTCATTTATAAAAATTTCAGCTTCATTAAAGAAGTAGCAGTGCAACTCTGTGAAGAGGAAGTAATACTACAAAGTATCTAGGATTAACTCTTAACAACATGCAATCTTGAGAATCTCTTACGTACATTTCACTAAACTATGCTGTACAAACTTTTGTTAGTTGTATAGTGATACTGTCTACTACATATATTCTATACCCTCAGTGTTATTTTATTAACAAACTCTATCAACTTCATGTTTACCTTAATGGGAGGGTCCTTGACACTGGTGAGAGACTCTTGATCTGAGGAATTGGACCTGTGCTCCAGTTCCTTAAACTGAGCCTGACTGCCTTTATTTCTGCAGTCCTATAGGTTTAGTGCTTCCCCCTCCCCCCACCTCCATAAATGTAAAAATAATCAGCCTCATGCTACCAAACAAGCTGATGAGTGGATAAAGCTGCATAATAACAAATAAGGTTTAAATTATCATTTTTAAAATACATTCATGGGAATGTTGAAGTTAAAAAATCCAAGTAAAGTGAATGAGATGCAATAGTGCAGAAAAGTTGTCTTTGGGGTTCATTAGTGTGAAATATTTTTTTAGATACCATTTTCAGGTGCCCCAATGACATGAAATGAAGCCTGAATGTGTTTGCCGTTAGGCAGTGAAGAGAGGGAGGGTATAGATGAAAAATAAGGCAAGGAGCTGTAATGTGCCACAGTGCAAGAAGAGCTGCTAACTGTGTATGTCATATGCTACTTGGACATTATCTTGAAAAACTGTATGATCCTTGTATGCAGATCTTTGTACATAGTACAATATTGTGTAAAACTTAGCATAACAGTTTGCAACATCATAATTATTGTGTAACTTGGCAATAGTTATGACGAATGCTCATTTTTTTTTTATCAAATTTGACTTCAACACCGATAAAATGACTCACGAAATCGTAATAGTACTGTTGCAAACACATCATAGAAATGGTGGGGTTTATAATCAAATAAAGCACTAAACCAACAAGGGTCAGGGGTGGGGGGTTTGAACCCATGGCAAGCGAATCCTACAACTGGTCTGAGTTTTAGGACACTCCTGTTGTGGGTTCCAGCCTCACCCATTTTGTGATTAGAATTGATAAAATGTCTGAATCATTACAAGTGCAAACAAGGAAAACAATAAAGTGTCCCACATTTGATGCATCAAAAGAACTTGACTTTCAACTGCTATCAACTTATCTAGATGTTATGAAATTTTACCCATAGTTCACACACAGGCTAAGTGCCAATGTGAACAAAGAATGTACTGTAGGTCTAATTACAGAATGTACTGCAGGTCTAATTACAGAGTTGCAAAATTAGAATTGCTTGTTATGGCGCATATACATTTTGCAAATGATCAGACCTTATCATAAGAATCAAAACATACACCCCCCCCCCCCCAAAAAAAAAAAAAAAAGTCCGAATTAAAAGTGAAAGCTACAAAGCTAGTCAAACAATTTCAGGAAAGAGGCCTTTCAAAAACTTTTTAATATTTCATTATGCAAATGTGTTTCAATTTTCTTCATGTACTTGTGATAAATCTCTTGAAGTGCCATGCAATACACAAATTTCCTGCAAATCAGAGAATAGATATAAAAAGAAAAAACAGCTATAGGTTCACCACTTGATTTCACTTCATCCAAGTAGCTAACACACAAGATGGAAAGCATGATGAAGCTACAAGAGCTAAAAATCAGATCAAGAAACTCACTTCAGGATATAAAGGTACTTCACAATTCGAAACGGATAATTGTCCTATTGGAAGTGAGAACGATGTCGAGTCATTATTTGGAGTTTGTACCATCTTCATTTAAGAAAACTACAGCAACACCACCCACATCTGAAACTTTAGGTCAAATGAGACAAAATTTAGCAGTTATGGTGATGACATCTGACAGAATGAAGTGTTGTCAGATAGCTCAGCTGTAACACTTGCAAGCAATGTTTTACAGGTTATAGGCATTGTAACTAAAATAGAAACATGCAGTTATTAACAGAAGTAAAATTAGGAGAGACAGAATAAGGAATGTGTAGCGACTTTCAAAAGGTAATATATGTATAGGTAATTGTACCACATGAAAGTATTTACTTTGATGGACACAGAGACAAAACTAATCAAGCACACAAAAACAATTATCACAAAACTGCTGTAGAGGAACATGTGGTACTACAATCAAAATACAGTGGCCGTGTATTCCCAGCCTCAGGATCTGCTGCAAGTATTACTTCCTCTTATCTTTGACTTTTGGCTTACGTATAATGAAATAGATGCCACAAAAGTGGCAGCTATTGGTTGTAATGGAACAGTTTACACTAGTGCACAGGGTGGAGGCTATTAGAGGATTAAGAGGGACATCAGGAAAAACCCTTTGCAGTGGTATGCCAACTGCAAAGGCCCTTGAGCATTCTCTAGGCAAAGCAAAAAGCAACTTTACCCATCAAATTTGACTTTTAAGAAACCTGGTTAACAACTGTCAACCAAAATTACATAGTATGCTGGAAATGATCATCAAACAGCAAACTTTCTAATACTAGCAGGATAGGTCATGAAGGTGTATGCACCATTATGGTTTCCTTCAAATACTAGCAGGATAGGGCATGAAAGTGGATGCACCATTATGGTTTCCTTGTACTAGGATAGGGCATGAAGGTGTATGCACCATTATAGTTTCACTCAAATATTAGCAGGATAGGGCATGGTGTATGCACCATTATGGTTCCTCATGATTCGCTTGTGTACTGAAGGCGCGAAACATGCATGGCAAATGATTCACCTATCAGGCTATCTTGATTTAAAAACAAAAAATGTAACTGATCTTGTAATGCAAAGAAATGCCTTCTTTGCTCACTTTCTATCTCCAGGACTTGAGTCCTGGAGATGGGAAGTACAGTGTCTGCACTCTGAAGGAGGGGTGTTAATGTTGCAGTTTTATAACTGTAGTGTAAAGTACCCCTCTGGTAAGACAGTGATGGAGCGAATGATGATGAAAGTTTTTGTTTTTTGGGCCACCCTGCCTTGGTGGGAATTGGCTGATGTGTTAATAAAAAAAAAAAAGATCTCTGAAAAAGAGATGCATGAACTTGAATGATGATGCATTTTGAAAGCTAAAGAAAGAAAAATGAAACACTAGAGTATTCAGAGTGCCAGAAATTAATTTTCAAGCCGAAGATGAGAGACATCAGAGAATGTAGCTAAACAGAACTACTTCTGACGAGTAAAATAATTGACAAAACCTTATGGAGTGGAGCAGACCTACCAAGAATTGAATCCACCTAGGTTCCATATCTCACACAACCCATGGAGACATGCAATATGAGCAACTGCAGCATCAATATCTATCTGCAACGTAGTATCATGGAACGGTTTTGTTTTTCAAGGATCAAAGCAGAGGAAAAAGCTGGCTTGTTTCAATACAAGACAGATTTTAAGTTCTAATGTTGCAAATTATCTGATTCCTAATCGGTCAATTAGTGCCCACATGGTAAGGAAGATGGGTTGCGCATTGGTGGAACTATGCAGATACCTTCTTGCAGTGCATTTTCGGTTGTTCATTAAAAAAAAAAAAAAGGCAGAATATGCAAAGAGCTATATTCAGGAAAAATATGGATATTTTTTCTCAAACTGGGTTTTCTGTTTTATCATTATTATTATTATTTGTATTATTATTACGTGAGAGACAGTGAAGGCGTTAATGTAACGACAAAAAAGTGTTAAAATGGAAATATGTACAGTACAGAATAGTACGAAAATATGAATAAGAGTTACAGGTGAAATCTTTTATACATGTATTTAGCAAAATTAAAGACATCAGTTTATCAATGAAAATAACTTAATTTACTAAACCGAGCCAACTAAATATATTTCTTAAACACTATAAGTCATAGAAGTTAAGAGAATGCATTGTAACAGGATCATAATGGTTAAATATACAAACAGCAACAGTGAAGTAAATTTAAATAATGTCCCAGAAATATTTATGCTACTTGGCATGAATTATGAGAAACAGGCATATCTTGCTAATACGGCGCTCACTTAAGAGCACTTCACTAATATTGTACATGTACGGTGATTTTAAATTGATGTTTATTATTTTCGGCACTTAAGATGATTTTAGGCAATTTAAAAAAAGTAATTATTTTTACTTTTGCATCTTTTTTTTAGGCCTAGTGCTACTGCACATCTAATAAATGATAGTGTAAACATGTTTTTAGGCTTTTATATGAACTGGCAAATGAAAAAAGGCTGAGATTCGCTTTGTGGCGGTGGTCTAGAACCTAACCCACTGTATTAAATTTAATTCTTAGATAGACTGATCGTATTTTCTACATTTTGATGTACTAACCAGCTGTTTCCTTCCTATCCAAAAGAAAAAGATTATCAACATGTCGATGGAAATAGCAAAAATAACATACGTATGTGTAAAACTCAGTTCATTTGTCTTTATTCATGCTACAGATACAAGTCATAGGGTTCACTGAAATCTAAAAATTACACAAATTACAAGAAAATAATTTTTTGAACCTTTCAAAGGCTTTTTTTTTTTTTAACGACTATCTACTAAATATTAATAAACATCAAATGCTCTTTTACCATATACTTTTTTTCAATGCTTTGATATAAGTTAAGACTTTAAAAAAAGACTGTATACATAATTAATGTTGTATTTTCCTTACATTTCACTTTGTTTCTTAAGGTGTTAATTACAGTCGAGTATCTACAAACAAATAAGATATTTTGTCCATATTTTCATGTAATAAACATATTACTTGACACTCACAAAATTATCAGACATTTCAATACAGTATACAGTTGCTTCAGATCTATTCTGCAAATTTCAAACTAAGATGTTTAATGTTCATAACAAGCTTGGGTTGGTAATACTCTATATTAAATGTTTAAGCCCACTGGTATCCGTATTCCATCAAACCAATTATTGGCAATTTTTGTGGTAACATATAGCAAGGTAAGGTACATGTATAGTTTTACTTACAGTAAACCACACAAAAAATTTACATTGTGAGAATGCAACATAAACCATGTAGCCAAACTTATATTTAATTCAGAACATCACATTGACTAGGATGAAATATTTTCTATATTATCCAGTAAACTCTTAGATTTAGGTGGTATATAGTTTGGACTAAGTGCTCGGCCTCGGTGTGCAAAGGTGTAGAATGTTGGTCGGTTTCCTACAGTCTCCCAGGACCTGTAAAATAAGAAAGTAACATAACAATGTGCATTACTAAAAAAAAGTACAATGCTTAAGGTCAAATACCGTACCTTATTCTGTAAAGAAAATAACTAAATTTTATATTCAGTTGATTGACCCAGTTACTGTCTCACTTTTAAAAAACTAAGAAAGATTGGTGGCTAGTAACCCCTTCTCCTGTATAAATTACTAAATTAAAAAGAAAAACTTTTCTTTTTAGGTCACCCTGCCTTAGTGGGATACAGTTGGTGTGTTGAAAAATAAGAAGTATGATCAAAGGTGTCAGGACAGATATAGGGTAGTACAGAACTGTAGTGTGTTTGACAGTATGGCTGTGGACTGCAAAAATTAAATAACCATAGCTCGTGTTTCTCGGGAGCAAGGGGCTAGTAACCCCTTCTCCTGTATAAATTACTAAATTTAACCCTTTCAGGGTTTCGGACGTACTAGTACGGCTTACGCACCAGGGTTTTTGACGTACTAGTACGCCTAAATTCTAGCGCCCTCAAATCTAGTGAGAGAAAGCTGGTGGGCCTACATATGAAAGAATGGGTCTATATGGTCAGTGTGCACAGTATAAAAAAAAATCCTGCAGCACACAGTGCTGCAGGATTTTTGTTTTTGGATTAAAACAGTGAATTTGCACTGTATTTTCGTATGGTATTTATTGTTGTATTCTAGTTTTCCTGGTCTCATTTTACAGAATGGAAGACATATTACAGAAATTGAGATGATTTTGACTGGTTCTACAATGAAAAGTACCTTGAAATTAAGCTCAAAATAGCAGAAATGTTAAATTTTTACCAAAGTTCAAAGGTAAACAAATCATGCTAAGCATCCAATACATGTCAACTGGTGAGTCTAATATTCTTTCACAAGTGCGCCGGTATTATTTATACCATTTCTACACTAATGCAGTAGTCTGCATAACAGTAAATCTTCTATTTTTTGTGAGAATAAAAATTCAAAGTGGAAAGCAAAAGAATGTAAGAGGGGCGTGGAGATGTGACTAATGAACAGAGGAAATGTTATTTTAGTGCCAGGAATGTCTTTCTTGTTTATTCTGGACCCTATTTGGAAATTGGCATCTTTTGAAATTTGTGTGAAATTGGCAAAATTGCTAAATTCTGGCCACTGTATTGGACAGTTGAAATCAGTAAATGGGTGGTTTCTTGTACTCATTCGATAGAAAAAATGGAATTCTAGCGAAATAGTTACGATTTTTGTCGACTAGTACACTGGAATTGGCCGAAAATAGGGCTCAAAGTGGGCAAAATCACGGATGTGTAAACATCGTTGAGACCACTAACTTCACGAGAGCATAATTCCGTAAGTTTTCCATCAAATTTCATACTTTTGGTGTCATTATGATCGGGAAAAGATTCTCTATCTTTTCAAAAGAAAAAATAATTTTTTTTTTTAAATTTGGGCAACCCTGAGAACAAGTATGGGAAAGGGCCTTGGGGACCCTGAAAGGGTTAAATAGAGAAACTTTTACTTTTCTTTTTGGGCCACCCTGCTTGGTGGGATACGGCCAGTTTGTTGAAAGAAGAAGAAGCTCATGTTTCTATTCAAAGACTGATTAACAACAGACATATTATCTACGAGGAAACATTGCAGTGTAGTATTGTAGTTTACATGATCATATATGAAGTTAGTGTGTTTGGCTTGCACATTTCTGAGAGCAAAAGTCACAGCACTTGTGGCAAATAGGGTAAAAAAAAAAAAAAAAGAGATGTGACAGCAGTTTTAAGATAAATGTGAAGATGAACTATGTAAAAAATATAACATTTTTCTAAAAATGAAGAGAATCCCAGGTATCTGGAGGCACTCACTGCATTTGTAGATATATGACATTTCTATAAATAAGTAGAAGTGAACATAATTCCTTAAATGCTGACAGAAGACTCAAGATGAGACTAAGATAATAAGATTTAGCCTGCTTGGAGTAGAAATCAGACTGGTGAAATTGTCTAAGTGAGTGATCCTCTATACAATAATGAGAAGCTGCCTCAAGAAAAATCAGTGCAGAAAGATTCTTCATGTATCATATGGCGAATGATAATTCTTGCCTTTTTTTCAGAACAGAGCACAACAAAAATTATGATATATGTATAGTTGCAAAATATAAAATAAAAAAGTCGTGTGTAAAGACGACCCTGTTTCTTAGCCACTTGTCATGTTATTGACACCCTCATACAAGAAAGAGAGAAACTATATTTTCTACATATACAGTGGACCCTCGCCTAACGAACGTATCGCATAACGTTAAATCCGCCTAGTGATACATTTTAACGCAAAAATATTGCCTCGGCTTGTGCTAAAAAACTCGCTCAAAGCGATTCCTTCGAGACGCATCCACGTGCGGCCTGAGCCCACCTCACTTGTTCCGTGGGTGCCAGTGTTTACAAGCCAGCCACCGCGGTCGCTTCCAAGCATACAATCGGAACATTTCATATTATCACAGCCTTTTTAGTGATTGCACCTGCAAAATAAGTCACCATGGGCCCCAAGAAAGCTTCTAGTGCCAACCCTACAGGAAAAAGAGTGAGAATTACTATGGATATGAAGAAAGAGATCATTGCTAAGTATGAAAGTGGAGTGTGTGTCTCCGAGCTGGCCAGGTTGTACACAAAACCCCAATCAGCCATCGCTACTATTGTGGCCAAGAAAACGGCAATCAAGGAAGCTGTTCTTGCCAAAGGTGCAACTTTGTTTTCGAAACAGAGATCGCAAGTGATAGAAGATGTTGAGAGACTGTTATTGGTGTGGATAAACAAAAAACAGATAGCAGGAGATAGCATCTCTCAAGCGATCATATGTGAAAAGGCTAGGAAGTTGCATGACGATTTAATTGGAAAAATGCCTGCAACTAGTGATGATGTAAGTGAATTTAAGGCCAGCAAAGGTTGGTTTGAGAGATTTAAGAATCGTAGTGGCATACATAGTGTCATAAGGCATGGTGAGGCTGCCAGTTCGGACCACAAAGCGGCTGAAAAATATGTGCAGGAATTCAAGGAGTACACAGACAGTGAAGGACTGAAACCTGAACATGTGTTCAATTGTGACAAAACAGGCCTGTTTTGTAAGAAAATGCCAAACAGGACGTACATTACTCAGGAGGAAAAGGCACTCCCAGGACATAAGCCTATGAAAGACAGGCTTACTCTGTTGATGCGTGCCAATGCTAGTGGTGATTGCAAAGTGAAGCCTTTATTGGTGTATCACTCTGAAACTCCCAGAGTGTTCAGGAAAAACAATGTCCTCAAGGCTAATTTGTGTGTGCTGTGGAGGGCAAACAGTAAGGCATGGGTCACTAGGGACTTTTTCTATGACTGGTTACACCATGCATTTGCCCCCACTGAAAAATTATCTAATTGAAAAGAATTTAGACCTTAAGTGCCTCCTGGTATTAGACAATGCTCCTGGTCATCCTTCAGACGTGGCAGAGCGACTTTCTGCGGAAATGAGCTTCATTAAGGTCAAGTTTTTGCTTCCTAATACCACTCCTCTCCTGCAGCCCATGGACCAGCAGGTCATTGCAAACTTCAAGAAACTGTACACAAAAGCTATGTTTGAAAGGTGCTTTGTAGTGACCTCAGAAACTCAACTGACTTTAAGAGAGTTTTGGAGAGATCACTTTAGCATCCTCAATTGTGTAAACATTATAGGTAAGGCTTGGGAGGAAGTGACTAAGAGGACCTTGAACTCTGCTTGGAAAAAACTGTGGCCAGAATGTGTAGACAAAAGGGATTTTGAAGGGTTTGAGGCTAACCCTGGGAATCCTATGCCAGTTCAGGAATCCATTGTGGCATTGGGGAAGTCCTTGGGGTTGGAGGTTAGTGGGGAGGATGTGGAAGAGTTGGTGGAGGAGGACAATGAAGAACTAACCACTGATGAGCTGCTAGATCATCTTCAACAGCAAGAGGCCACACCTGAGGAAACTGCTTCGGAGGAGGGGATAGAGAAATTGAGGAAGTTGCCTACTTCAAAGATTAAGGAAATGTGTGCAATGTGGCTTAAAGTGCAAACCTTTTTTGATGAAAATCACCCTCACACAGCTATTGCAAGCCGTGTTGGCAACCTGTACACTGACAATGTTGTGAAATACTTTAGGAATGTCATAAAGGAACGGGAGGTACAGGCCTCTATGGACAGATATGTTGTGCGACAGAGGTCCAGTGACTCTCAAGCTGGTCCTAGTGGCATTAAAAGAAGAAGGGAAGTAACCCCGGAAAAGGACTTGCCACCTCAAGTCCTAATGGAAGGGGATTCCCCTTCTAAACACTAACACCAACACTCTCCTCTCCTCCCATCCCATCAATCATCACCAGATCTTCAATAAAAGCAAGTGTCATGTAACTGTGCATGTCTTCTTCAGTTTGTGCGTATTAAAATTAATATTTCATGTGGTAAAAATTTTTTTTTGTTCATACTTTGGGGTGTCAGGAACGGATTAATTTGATTTCCATTATTTCTTATGGGGAAAATTAATTCACCTAACGATAATTTCGCCTAACGTTGAGCTCTCAGGAACGGATTAATAGCGTTAGGCGAGGGTCCACTGTATTATGAATGGATTTTACTGGAGATCTAATCTAATTCCAGGAAATGAAAATAACCCCCACACTTATAAGGTAAATGATGTAGAGCTTAATCATAAAGAATGTGAAAAACTCCTGGGAGTCATAAGAAAAACTCTGAAGCCAAGACAGTAGTACCTAAGTGTACATAATAAGATTAACAAACTACTCAGATTTATATCAAGAGTAAAGGCAGACCCTGCTTTACAGCACTTCACTTTACAGCATTTTGCTAATATAGCAGTTTTCAATTATACCCATTCTTCATTTATTTACACTTCCTACCATAAATACATTCATCACTCGCTGTAAGCTAAGGATGAAAATATTTTAAGGCGAGTAATGTGTGTAGTGTATATGGATTTTTTACACAAAGCTATATTGCTCACTTAATATGTGATAGAATAAACATGTTATCAGGCTGTTACATGCATTTGAAAGTAAAACAAAGGCTATGATTCACTTTACAGCAATTTTTGCTTTACAGCAGTAGCCTGGAACCTAACCTGCTATATAAATGGAGCCCTCCTGTACTGTTTAAGTAACAGGAGTCCAATGTTCATTCTTCAGTTCTATACATCATTTGTAAGGCTTCACTTAGATTATGTTCAGTTCTGGTCTCTAAACAGAATGGATATAAATACATTGGAATGGATAGATATAAATGCATAATGGATAAAAATGCATTGGAATGGATATAATGCACTAGAAAACTTACATTACATGAAGTGATGACAAAATTAATCCAGCGTACAAAGAATCTTACATACAAAAATGGACAGAGTCCTGTTCTTACACTCTCTTGAAAGATATAGAATGAGGCAAGATATGAATGAAATATACATACGAGTGAAAGATAAGTTTAAAAACAGGGGAATATCCAACCAAGAAAGAACTCAGAATAATGGATTAAAGTTGGATAAATTCAGATGTAGAAAGTGTAGAAGAAAGTACTGGTTTAGTAATAGATGAATGGAACAATCTGCCAAGAAGAGGCATGGAAGCTAACACCTTAGATCCCTTATACTTTACCTTTTATGAGTTCCAAGATTTTTCTACTCCCAGAGCCTGACCCTGGGTCACTTACATAAGTTCAATTCAAGTGAATTGGCAACATAACAGAAAGTCCATGTCCCAGTAATAGTGACCAGAGACAAGAAGCAGTGAACTAACAAGATAGTGACTAATAATTATCACAGATGAGGTGGAGTTGTGATGAATATTCGGTTTTGTAAGGCTTTTGATACACTACTTCAGTGCAGATTGTAGAGTCCAGTAATATACATTTCTTAGGAAAAAGACATTAGCATGTTATTTCATAAATGAACTGTGACCTGTACCAAATCCACCAAAAATGATGTGCTTTTATTTGCCAATAAAACTGAATGGCCTACTACCTCCCTCATGCATAATACAGTAACAATATAATTACTTATTCTGCAGCTGAACATTTGCTCGAATTTCTTTGAAGTCACCAGCAATGTGTAGGATGCCATACATTGTTAGGAGAAGACTCATAAGACCTTGTACACCAATCTGAAATTAAACACAATTTTTAATGCTAAATTTAACGAAGAAGACCCCTACACCTAAATTATAAGAAACTAAGGAGTTTAGCCATATTGTTTCAATATACAGTACTGTATATTTTTCATGAAGCACTACTGTCAAAAACTCATTTATTTAATCATAAATTTTTGGCTTACATCTTGATTACCCTTAAAAGCCTTTTACGCCATTAAAGCACTCGGTTTCTTATTATTTTTTTTTTTTCAACAAGTCGGTCGTCATCATTCAACACTTTCACCACACTCACACATTATCACTGCTTTTGCAGAGGTGCTCAGAATACAACAGCTTAGAAGCATATACGTATAAAGATACACAACATATCCCTCCAAACTGCCAATATCCCAAACCCCTCCTTTAAAGTGCAGGCATTGTACTTCCCATTTCCAGGACTCAAGTCCGACTATACAATACACAAATAAATTCCATGCATATTCTATTTACTTATTATGTTCTAATTAAAACATAATGGAAGGATATTTTGCATATATTCATATTTTAAAAAAAGCTTTTGATAAGAATTTCTCAAGAAAGACTAACATGGATACTGCCAAACAAAAATAAAAGGCAAACTTTTACAGCAGAAGTGAGACTTCCTATTTGAAAGAAAAACATACAAGAGGAAGAAGAAAAAATTTCCTTGTAGGGTAATGTCACCAACAATGTGTCACAAGAATTGGTATTTGCCCCACTTGCATACATTATACTATACAGTGGACCCCTGCCTTAAGATATTAATCCGTTCCTGAGATCTCATCGTGTGCCGAAATTATCGTAAGGTGAATTAATTTTCCCCCTTAAGGAATAATGGAAATCAAATTAATCCATGCAAGACACCCCAAAGTATGAAAAAAAAAAATTTTTACCACATGAAATATTAATTTTAATACACACAAACTGAAGAAGACATGCACAGTTAATACTCTACTAAGAATAGAATACATGACACTTACCTTTATTGAAGATCTGGTGATGACTGATGGGATGGGAGGAGGGGAGAGTGAGGAAGTTGTTATTGTTTAGAAGGGAAATCCCCTTCCATTAGGACTTGAGGTATCAAATCCTTTTCCGGGGTTACTTCCCTTCTTCTTTTAATGCCACTAGGACCAGCTTAAGAGTCACTGGACCTCTGTCGCACAACATATCTGTCCATAGAGCTCTGTACCTCTCGTTCCTTTATGATTTGTCAAAAGTGGTTCACAACATTGTCATTGTAATAGTCACCAGCACGGCTTGCAATAGCTGTGTGAGGGTGATTTTCATTCATAAAGGTTTGCAGTTCAACCCACTTTGCACACATTTCCTTAATCTCTTTTTTCAATTCCATACTAATTCTCACCCTTTTTACCACAGGGATGGCACTAGAAGCTTTCTTGGGGTCCATGGTGACTTATTTTGCAGTTACAAGCACTAAAAACACTGGGATAATGTGAAATGTACCGAATGTATACGTAGATGCAACCGCACTGGCTGGCTTGTAAACACTGGCGCTGAGGCCACATGTGGGACGCGTCCTGGACGAATCACGTAAGGCGAGGCAAAATTTTTGTGTTAAAATGTATCATATGGCGGATTTAACGTAACGCGATGCCATCGTAAGGCGGGGGTCCACTATAATTATATAGTTCCCACAAAATCCTCTAACCTAGATATGCTTACACCCTCAACAACACTTGTATCAAAACACTTGGTAGAGAATATACACACTAGTACATATTCTGATAACCAGTTTTACCAATTTTACACATTTTTTTTTATTTTATGTATATATACTAGTGATACTCTTCATTGATGAACTTTTGGAATTGGTGTTCTGTTCAAAGTCTCATAGAATCTAGAGTAAGAACAGATATACTTTTGATGAGTTCTGAGAGTTTTTCTACTCCCAGAGCCCGACCTTGGGCAAGGCTCATCTGGTGCTTGCCTGGTCAACCAGGCTGTTGCTACTTGTGGCCCGCTGACCACCATAACCATCATATTGTAATAAAGTATTCTTGTTTTTTGTTTAGTGATATTGATAATTGTTAATATTTTATTAGTCAACTCTAAAATGGTTAGCCTCAACAATCTTACCATAATATTTGGACTTCTTACAATTGTTGAAAGAAATTTTCTCACTGCTTTGCCATTACTGGTCACTGCAGGCTGTAAGTCTGATTCAAGCAATTACATAATGGATAACAGTTATGAAAATACAACCCACTAATGAAAGTGGTGTACTAAGAATAACTCTGCAAATACCAAAAGTGCCACAATTTAATACTGAATCTAATATTTAAAATAAAATATTAATAAGCAAAGACATGTTTTTGAAAAAATACTATTGCTGTATTGTTTATATCCTGAAATATGCATTATATTTCATAGAAAATATTAATATTCAGTAACATTCATGGCTAAAGCTGTCTTCAGCTGTAGAGCCATTTTTTTATGTCTAAATTAAACCAATCTTTCTGGGGCTTCAGCGATATACTTACATAATGTTTTTCAGTTTACTTGATGTATATGCTACAGTTCAAACAGATAGCTCTAATTTCTCTCTAGTGTCCAGACAAGGGCACCAGAAGCAATCGCAGCAGAAGTGACAACTCTGAAGCCTGCATCCTTTAATACATTGAGAACATCGGTTGGAAACATATATGGTTGTAAGATCAATACTTTTTTCCCACAGCTCTGTTTATCACACATTCCAAATGAACCAGGTTTCTTGGACACGACACCACCCTCAGCAAGCGTGAATCCAAGGGCCTCCAAAATGCTGCTGTAGTTATCGTCACGCTTGCTTAATGCAGTTTCAAGACCTTCCACTTCTACGCTTGCATGACCGAGTGTACCGCGCACAATCACGTATGGCATAATTTCAGTAAAATAAATATACAATTTCCCTTCTGAAATTTAGCATTCAATCAAATATAACAGAAATTTGCTTTTATACAAAGGTTACCATATATTTTCTGCTCTTCAACTTTTATGTTTCAACAATTTTTGCAAGATTTTGTCACATTATGGCACTAAGGTATTTTTGTAGTTTCACTTTTTTTGTGTTAGAAACTGATAACCCAGATCTAGAGCCAATTACTGCTGGGCTGTTATGTATGAAACACCAAGCACAGATTACACAAACACACTGAGCACTGTAAGAGTCACACTCCAGTGAGTTGAAAATATTAGCAGTTGTGGGTCTTTAGCAAATGCTTTGGGAAGGTCTGCAAGTGCCTTAGGCAGCACTAAAAGGGCTTCTAATCCTAACACCTTTTCCTGCAGCAGAGCACAGGGTTTCACCAAAACAGGCAAATTTAAGGACAGAATCAGTACAGTGCCCAAAATTATAAAATGCTACTATTGAATTTCACCAGTATATATGATATTTTGTAATTTCTATGAATTTTCTACAGAGTCATTCCATAATCTTTTAAGTCTAATGAAAAATCTAGGCATGAAAAAGCCTACTTAACCCTTTTGGGGTCGATCCCATAGTACTACGGCTTTGAAGCCAGGGTCGGTCCCATAGTTCTACCCCATGAGCTCAGCTCACTCAGATAAACTGTGAGCGGTAACTCTGGGCCTTAAGATGAGAGAGTGGGTCTTTGTGGTAAGTGTGCAACACACACAAAAAAAATCCTGCAGCAAGCACTGCACAATGGGGAAAAAAAAGTGCAACCATGTGTTTGGTTTAACCCATAAACGGTCCAAACGTATACATACATTTTTTCAACATTTGAAAGTATGTAAAAAAAGTAGATCATCTTTTATTTTTTTTTACATTTGAAAATGTATAAAAAACTTTGATCTACTTTTTTTTTTGTTATATTTGAAAATATGTAAAAAAATGTAGATCTACTTTTGGAGCACTACGCATATGAATGTAGATCTGCTTGGACCATTTACGGGTTAAAACAGTGACTTGGTTTCATATGACAGAATGGAAGATATATTACAGAAATAGAGATGATTTCGAATGGTTTCAGGACTGAAAGTAGCTTGTAATTGAGCTCAAAGTAGTGGAAACGTTCAGTTTTTGCCAATATTCCAGAATACACAAATTATGTCACTCATCCAATACATGTCCAACTGGCCAGTCTAATATGCATTTAGGAATGCACCGACATTATTTGTACAATTATTACAATAATGCAGTAATCTACATAAAAGTAAATCTATTTTTTTGTGAATAAAAATTCAAAACGGAAAGCATGCGTAATATAAGAGTGGCCTGGGGACGTAACTAATGAATAGAGAAAGTTTTTTTAGTGCCAGGAATGTCTATACTGTTTATTCTGGACTGTATTTTAAACTTGCAATTTTTTAATTTTGTGTGAAATTGACCAAATTACCAATTTCTGATCACTTTATTGGGTAGATGAAATAGGTAAATGGGCGATTTCTTGCACTCAATCGACAGAAGGAATACTAGCAAAATGGCCGAGTTTGGTTGAATGGAACAATGGAATTGGTCAAAAACAGGGCTCAAAGTGGGCGAAATTACCAATGCGAGAGTGTAATTCCATAAGTTTTCCATCAAATTTTGCACTTATGGTGTCATTACCTTCAGAAAAAGTTTCTCATTTCATAATTTTTTATTTTTTTAAATTCTTTAACCCTGAGAGCAATTTTTTGATCAGGGGTCTTGCCCCTGAAAGGGTTGATGATTCTGCATACACATAAGCCATGGTACTTACATCAGTTGGTAAAGAAGTGTACTCCTGCTCGGTGATTCTCATATATGCTCGATCTATGTGCCAACACATGTCCACCACCCCATCATTCGCATCATAAAAGAAAAGAATATATACAAGTAAGGCACTGTGCAAACATTGCTACACATTAGTGAAGCAACTGATATGAATACTCTACTCCAGCATTCTCAAGTGCTGTACATCCATAACAAGCATTGTACATGACATTAAGATACTGATCAAAACAATCATTTTTCAAGATTTCCCTACTATAAATTCAAAAATGCAGTATAAATTTATTTGGAAAAGTCTGAACAGCAGAGCTAATTCTAAGTTAATTTCCTTCTTTTTGAAAAGAAATGACATTCTCTAAAATTTAAACAACCATCAACATCAGTGCAAGAACCTCAACCATCCACCTCAGCTGATGATTCACAACCATCCACTTCAGCTAATGATTCACAACCATCCACCTCAGCTAATGATTCACAACCTTCCACCTCAGCTAATGATCCACAACCTTCCACCTCAGCTAATGATTCACAACCATCCACCTCAGCTAATGATTCACAACCATCCACCTCAGCTAATGATACACAACCATCCACCTCAGCTAATGATCCACAACCTTCCACCTCAACTAATGATTCACAACCATCCACCTCAGCTAATGATACACAACCATCCACCTCAGCTAACGATCCACAACCTTCCACCTCAGCTAATGATCCACAACCTTCCACCTCAGCTAATGATTCACAACCATCCACCTCAGCTAATGATCAACAACCATCCACCTCAGCTAATGATTCACAACCATCCACTTCAGCTAATGATTCACAACCATCCACCTCAGCCAATGATTCACAGCCATCCACCTCAGCTAATGATTCACAACCATCCACCTCAGCTAATGATTCACAACCTTCCACCTCAGCTAATGATCCACAACCTTCCACCTCAGCTAATGATTCACAACCATCCACCTCAGCTAATGATTCACAACCATCCACCTCAGCTAATGATACACAACCATCCACCTCAGCTAATGATCCACAACCTTCCACCTCAGCTAATGATCCACAACCTTCCACCTCAGCTAATGATTCACAACCATCCACCTCAGCTAATGATTCACAACCATCCACCTCAGCTAATGATCAACAACCATCCACCTCAGCTAATGATTCACAACCATCCACCTCAGCTAATGATCAACAACCTTCCACTTCAGCTAATGATCCACAACCATCCACCTCAGCTAATGATCCACAACCTTCCACCTTAGTTAACAATCCACCACTTTCCACCTCAGTCCAGTAGGGCCACACCACTCCACTCCACACCTATCAAAATCATCAACATGCACCAGCAACCAGAATTTAAGGTAAGAAGTAATATTTATGTAATCTTTGAAGATATTTTATTAAATAATGCATCACTGCATCCACATATAATTACATAATCAATGCTTTTTTTACAATTTAAAAACTATAAAAATTTTGACTGACTTTTTTGGGAGGGTCTAATAAATGTACCCCTATTTTCTACACATGTTCTTGAGTTCAATTAACACACATCTTTTTATATTACACATCATTTTGAAGAATGTAACTACTGTGCTATGTGACAGTCAACTGTATATGTATATTAGACAGTGTATAATTACAAAGCAAATCACTTGTACACTGTAGCACTGTTCATAGTTTTCACACACAATGCACTACTCTTTCCCCACTCCCCTTCCCCCCCAAAAAATCATATCTGGGAATAGATTAATCATCTTTATTTAGCCGATTCTGACTCCCCTCCTCGAAAATACAGTATATTGTATACAAACTGAAAGAAAGCAGCTATTAATAAAGCAAATTATTTCATAATCATAGTTATGTATAGTATTTGAATCACAAAATGCAGTCGAATATCCACTATAGTATTTCAGCAATTTTATAGAGTATTACAAAATACTCTGAATGACGTGTCATAAATAAAATGTTAATCACTCTATAATTCCCATGTTATAAACTGCTTACACTAACCTCACTTCACTGCTACTTTAGTCTTATTTTCTTACTTGCATGTATGCTAAGCTTTCTCTCACACTTGCCATGTGTGTGTGTCATTTTGACAGGTGTCCATCACTCTTATAAAGTAAAGTAGATGTGTTCACAAGATAAGATAGTTTTTGTTCGGATTTTTAACGCGGAGTGCTAGCCACCCAGAATAACCCAAGAAAATCAGTGCATCATTAGGGACTGTCTTATTTCCACCAGGACTTTGCCGCTTTAATTCCACATAACAATCTTTAATATGTTTTACAAATCATGCTCAATGTATGAGGCAAATGTATATTACACATAAGAGAACTACCGATGCAAATGGTACACTCCCTAATGCCTAATTAGCATTGATTATAATTATTATAATCAAAAAGAAGCGCTAAGCCACACAGGCTATACAGCTAATTAGCATTGAACCCCAAATAGAGGGAAACGTTCAATTCGCTTGCTTTATCATGACTGAATTATTATTATAATCAAAGAAAGCGCTAAACCGTCTAGGGTATCATGACTTAAGCATTCATTATAGCCACACCATCATCTGATATTCTTCCTCTTGTCTTACAACCTCCAGGATTTTGTATTCGATATTTTCAAAATATCCTTCCATGTTCTATCTTAATAACCCATGCAGAAGCTAGAAGCAAGAAGCAGTAACAGAAGCAGAAGGAAGAAAAAGGAAGCAAGAAAAAGAAATTAAGAAAAAGGAAGAAGAAAGTAATGGAAAGAGAAAGAAAAGGGAAAGTGAAAGGAAAGGGTTTTATTTTTGTACAATACAGTATACAATCGTATTTTAGGTTGGATCCAAGGAAGGGGGAAGTATCTTCACCAGGTGCCAGATCAACCAGGCTGTGATGGATAAGTAGGGCAGCGGGCCTCCAGCAGCAACAGCCTGGTTAACCAGGCGAGCACCAGACGAGCCTGGCCCATGGCCGGGCTCAGAGAGTAGATATACTCTCGAAATTCTTCAAAGGCATATCAAAGGTAAAGGGTAGGGCAAGTCCCATTCCTTGAGGTGAAGTACTCTCATTGGGGTCCTGAAAAACATAAACCTTCAATACTTTAAACTAACAAATTTTACCACCCTTAAAACTAAGTTGACCTACGTTGTGCTGCAGAGTAACCAGCGTGAAATAAAGAGATAATTCCTGCCAAAAAGGCAAGTCTTGCCCACACGACGGCCATTGTTGTGTTTAGGCACAACAGCGAACAACCCTGGCGCATATCACCACCCCAGCGACCACACACCAGCGATCCAATGTAACGACCACATGCCAGCGACCATACTTCCCTCTTCCTTCCAGGGGAAGCCTTGATGCTGGTGAATAGCTCTTGTTCCAAGGCATTGTATCTATCCTTCCCTTCGGATCAAACATTATTGTATCTCCTACCTTAACACCAGATACCAACATGCTTCCATCAATGACACAACCTCGGTTGGTAGCGCGCTCAGCTCACACACTGAGGGTCATGGTTCGATCCCCGGTACGGGTGGAAGCATTGGGTGTTCCTTTAAGACACCTGCTGTCCCTGTTCACTTAGCAGTATGTAGGTACCTGGGTGTTAGTCCACTGGTGTGGGTCGTATCCTGGGGACAATATTAACTTAATTTGCCCGAAATGCTCTGCATAACCAGGAAATGTAGAAATAAAGATTATATGTATTATTATTATCATTATATCAACATAGGTTTACCTTGGGGCAGTGCCTTTAGTAAGGATTTAAGTTTAAGTACAATTACAAATAATTATAATAATAATAATAATAATAATAATAATAATAATAATAATAATAATAATAATAATAATAATAATAATAATAATAATAATCTTTATTTCTACAAGTACATCTGCACTGCATACAGGCCTAGCTGACATCAATGACATACTACTATATAGAAAGTCCCATGATATACAGAGAATTTCGGGCAAATTAGGTCAATTTTGTCCCAGGATGCGACCAACACCAGTCGACTAACACCCAGGTACCTATTTTACAAAGAGATGAACAGGAACATTAGGTGTCTTTAGGAAACACGTCATAATGTTTCCACCCGTACAGCTATTGGCCTCTTGCTTGGATAGACATATAGGGGGAAACCTCTCTGGGAGATATGAAATAAGATTTTCGTATTTTAAACCCCAGAGGGTTCCATGGTCTTGTGTGCCGTAAATCCGAGGGAAAGATTACAAGACATGAAGAAGTTAATAGCATTATTAAGAGGAGCCTCACAACAGCCGGATGCCCAACAGTAAGGGAGCCACCCCAACTATGCAGATCTGGTGGCAGCCAAAAGCGTCCAGATGGTATCACCCTTCAAACCTGGACAGACGGCAAGCAGGTGGTGTGGGACTATACATGTTCATCTACCTTGACTAATACCTATCTCCAATACACCAGGGAGGAAGGAGGGGCAGCCGCCAGCTTCAGGGAGTCCCATAAGTCTAGAAAATACGGAGAACTTGCCCATTATTATATGTTTGTTCCCATAGGCTCGGAGACCCTTGGCTCATGGGGAAAGAGCACATTTATTTATTCATTTATTTTATTTATTATTATTTGAACATGATACATGGTTGTGCAAAAGAAATACAATGGTTGAGTGTACATGCCAAAAGACCCTTGTATGCAGAGCATTGTGTGCAGGCTTAAAGACTCATCAGGGTAACTAGGGATCACAGGGCAGCTAGTTTTCTGTTCCAGCGGCTCAGCGCTGCTGTTCAAAGGGGTAATGCCTGCTGTATTTTGGGCACGCGCCCTAGCTCTGAGGAGCTGGATGAAATTTTCGCATTATAATCAGTGACAAACACGTAACAATATGTACGAGACATATATCTCTCACACCTCATGTACTGTATATGCCATCTTTGTATCTATGAACAATGTATCTCTTAAATCTTTTGTACCATATTATGTAATATATATATATATATATATATATATATATATATATATATATATATATATATATATATATATATATATAGAGAGAGAGAGAGAGAGAGAGAGAGAGAGAGAGAGAGAGAGAGAGAGAAAGAGAGAGAGAGAGAGCGAGAGAGAGAGAGAGAGAGAGAGAGAGAGAGAGAGAGAGAGAGAGAGAGAGAGAGAGAGAGAGAGAGAGAGAGAGAGAGAGAGAGAGAGAGAGAGAGAGAGAGAGAGAGAGAAATTCAACAAACCGGCAGTATCCCACTGAGGCAAGGTGACTCAAAAAAGAGAAAGTACTTTCACCATTCCTCACTGTTTTGTCAGAGGGACGTCGATACTACAGTTCAAAACTGCAAATATCCTCACTTCTCATTCAGAGTGCAGACGCTGTACTCCCCCTCCTTCAGAGTGCAGACGCTGTACTCCCCCTCCTTCAGAGTGCAGACGCTGTACTCCCCCTCCTTCAGAGTGCAGACGCTGTACTCCCCCTCCTTCAGAGTGCAGACGCTGTACTCCCCCTCCTTCAGAGTGCAGACGCTGTACTCCCCCTCCAGAGTGCAGACGCTGTACTCCCCTCCTTCAGAGTGCAGACGCTGTACTCCCCCTCCTTCAGAGTGCAGACGCTGTACTCCCCCTCCTTCAGAGTGCAGACGCTGTACTCCCCCTCCTTCAGAGTGCAGACGCTGTACTCCCCCTCCTTCAGAGTGCAGACGCTGTACTCCCCCTCCAGAGTGCAGACGCTGTACTCCCCCTCCAGAGTGCAGACGCTGTACTCCCCCTCCAGAGTGCAGACGCTGTACTCCCCCTCCAGAGTGCAGACGCTGTACTCCCCCTCCAGAGTGCAGACGCTGTACTCCCCCTCCAGAGTGCAGACACTGTACTTCCCAACCAGTTTCCCTGGACCCTTCATGAACTCAGTGAGACAAACTCTGGTATAGAATTTCCCTAGAATTTCACATTAAGAATTCACACACTATTTTTTCTGTGTACTAACAGTTCCTCAGGTTTATATGTCACGGAAATCAATAGACTTACATATTTCTGAAACTTTTGTGAAAGATTATTAATAATCTTAATTACGCATATTTTCTGAAATATAAAATTAATTTTTTTCTAAACATTTTAACGGTACTGCGTATTTTTTACATTTTTATTTTAAATTCAAAGCCTGTCTCACACCAGGGCGGGATGACCCCCCCAAAAAAATATAATTATGATGGTGTATAATTAAGAGAATATGATGATTAAGTAATTTTTTCAGGAATATACAGCAAGTACTTAGTGATCCTGGAGAATCACTGACTGGGATCATTAACCCGGAGGGTTAATGACCATAACAGTTGTCAGAATGATGAAACTCCGGCTGTATGGTGAGTAAGATAGTAATTACAGAATCTTTATTAGCAGCAATGAATATTTTCTTGTACTGACAACAACCCAGGATAACCCAGACAAGCCCGTCATTGTGGCTGATTTCCATTGTGGTCCTCTGATCTTCCCCAGGACCATCCATAACAGTCTGACAATACTATACAGCTCACAACAATACGTATGAACTCGCATACATATGCACCCGCATACACACGTCCACGCATATATATATATATATATAATATATATATATATATATATATATATATATATAATATATATATATATATATATATAATATATATATGTATATATATATATATATATATATATATATATATATATATATATATATATATATATATATATATATATATATATATATACATATTGCATTTGAATTTTATCCCCAGTAATATTTCTTTTGCATACATTGAGGAAAAGGGAAGCTGGGCTTGTGGATTACAGAGACCGAAGTGCTTTTAGTTTACCTGCCTGTGTCTCCTCGTTGTGATCCCACACTCGTTGGACATTATGTCTGTGTAACTTGTCTGTATCAGTGAACGAGCAGTGTGTGTGTATGTGTGTATGTGTGTGTGTGTGTGTGTGTGTGTGTGTGTGTGTGTGTGTGTGTGTGTGTGTGTATGTGTGTGTGTGAGAGAGAGAGAGAAAGAGAGAGAGAGAGAAGGATGAAGGATGAGAGCAATTTTATGAAGAAAATTAAAACTGTCCCAAAATTAGCTTGGAGCCGTGACATCAGCCGAGCAGAGATCATGGAGGTCACTGAAAGTCAGAGGTCACTGAAGATCAGAGGTCACTGAAGGTCAAAAAATATAAAGACAACAGTCAGAACAGGACACAGAACAGCAGCCTCCTCCTCCTCCTCCCCTCTCATTCCATTCCCTTTCCCCCCTTCTACAATAGGGGGGCAATGAAGCCAGGAGTGTAGTGTGATGGTATGAGAGGCAGGATCCATACATAGGTATAAGAAGAGGTATGATAAAGCCCATGGAGCAGAGAGTGGATCTAGTAGCGACCAGCGAAGAGGCAAGGCCAAGAGCTGCGAATAGACCCCTGCAACCACAAATACAAGAGTACACACACACACACACACACACACACACACACACACACACACACACACACACACACACACACACACACACACACACACACACACACACACACATACACACACACACATGACAGGCATACAGCTACTCAATCACTGGTGAAACTTAATAATATTGTGTTTCAGCACAAGAGAGTGTAAATCCGCGTCTGTTTGAAGCCATCGCCGGAGACACCACTAAAAACAGAGAGACACAAAGTATCATCAGGTTACAGAGAAAAAGAAGAACAAGGAAGAGAAGGAGGAGGAGGAAGACGATAGCAGTGCACAAGTTGCAGCTATCGTCATCAACAGCACTAGATACCCTGCAGTGGGTGGATATCTTCCACCTAACACTGGAACACTTCCAGCGCGAGTTGTCTATCACATCTGCATAGCAATACTTGCTTGGATGCGACCCACAACAACAGCTAACGCACGGGTACCTAATTTTACTGCTAGATGAGTAGGGGCATAAGGACATCTGTCCTCATGTTAACCTGGTCAGGGATTGAACACAAGACCTTATGAGGGAGAGGAGGATATGGCAAACTTCAAAAGTGGAAAGATTCTGCCCAAGCTAACAAAATTTCGAAATTATTGTTATACAGACATTCTGTTGGAGATGACAGGAGGCAAGATAACACGTCAAAAACCACTAGTATCATCTTCCTAAGATGATGACAAGAACCATGATAACACGTCAAAAACCACTAGTATCATCTTCCTAAGATGCTGAAGGTGATGACAGAAAGCAAGATAACACAAAAACCAACAAGAGTATCACCCTTCTAACATGCTGAAGATAACAGGGACCAAGATAGCACAACAACCATCAGGTTAGACCTAAGAT